CACTCTATGACAGTGACTTAGAGTCCTCATCTGATCTGGGAGACAATGTACCAATAACAGGTTTCCTGAGCACGAGCCTTTGAGTTGACAGTTTTTTGGAAGACTGAGAATAAGCAGATGAAGGAAGTGGACATGGCAGGGAGAGTACTTGAAAAATTCGACATGCTGTAATGTCTATGTCACATTCTGGGCATGAAAGACCGCTTTGTTTAAATGCCCCTTACAAGCCTCACGGTAATATGTGATTTCCACTATGACAGCATTGGAAGGTGGGACATGTGGGGTAAGATTATGGAGATGTTAGTGGTTAGAGCACATGCTGCTCTCAGGCAGAGTCTTCGCGACGACCAAGTAAGAGAAAGGGGGAAGATAAGATTTCAACCAAATATGAAAATAAACTGAACTGTTAATATTTTCATTAGAAAATATAAAAACTGATCAATATATCATTGTGGGATTACAAAGGGGAAATCAACAGCACTCAGCTGAGTCCATGTTGAGTTAATCCCCTTATGTGAGTTGACATGACCCATGATGTTTTCTTGGTTATACCAGCCTTATTACACATGTCCTTACTGGACTTTCTCAGCACTTTTCCTTCCTGCTCTCACTGAGATGAAATCCACACTTCTTAGATGTCCAATTCACGTGGCAAAGTGGAGGGGATGGAGTCTATCTCACAGCCTTCCACTGTCTTTAACTGAGTGGTTGACATTTTGTCAAAATCACTTTTTAAGTCTCCCAGGTATGACCACTTGCTCCCTTTGGGATTCATCTGTTTCTTCAATGGATTTCCAACTCTTTCTGTGGATGTTATGAGGGTTTAGCAGTTTTCCTAAGGAATGTTTTTGCAGCCCTGTCTGCCTTTGACACTCCCATGAAGTCTTTAGGAGGTGATCAGGGCACAGGTCTCTATCATGGAACTCCTCCATCCTCTTCCTCCTCCTCTTGTTCTTTCCTCTCCAATCCAGGAAGACTTGGAAACTCTGGAACCACATGAGCCATGGCCACGGTCACATTGGTAAACACGGAAAGCACCCAGAAGGCCTTAGGAATGCTGAAGGCATGCATCAATACAGGATCAACTTCAACAAATATCATCCAAGGTACCTTGGGAAAGTTAGTATGGGGCATTGCTACTTAAAGAGGAACCAGAGATTCTGCCTGACTGTCAACCTGGGTAAATTGTAGACAATGGTCAGTGAGCAGACATGGATCAAGGCTGCAAAGAATACTACTGGAGTTGTTCCCATCATTGATGCTGTGCCATCAGGCTACTTCAAAGTTCTGGGGAAAAAAATTTCCTAAGCAGTCTGTCATCATGAAAGTCAAATTTTTCAGCAGATGAGTTGAAGATAAAGGGCGTTGGAGGTACCTGTGTCTTGGTGGCTTGAAGTCACCCAGGGAAGTTAATTAAATACTGACATTTTCGACAAACAAAATTAGACATTTTATATCTATGTGTTGGTGGAACGAAAAATATTTCTCTTAATTAAATATTCTTCCAAATCTGACAAAAACATTTCAACCTAAAAGTCATAGTTCTCTGTGGGATCTTTTCTGAAGTACAGATGCCTCCTAGCTTGGTCTATTATATACTATCATAATAGAATGCCACAAGTAGGGTAGTTTATTAAGATTAGAATATTTGTTGTTGTTGTTGTTTGCTTGATTTTTGAGACAGGTTTCTCTGTGTCACCCTGGCTGTCCTGGAACTCTCTCTGTAGACCAGGTTAGCCTCAAACCTAGAGATCCATCTGCCTCTACCTCCCAAATCCTGGGACTAAAGATGTACACCACCACTGCCAAGCTAGAAATTTATTTCTTAAAGTTCTAAAATCTGAGAATTGCAAGGCCAGGTATTCTTCATCTAGAAAAGACCTTTTAGCTGCATCCTTCCATGGAAGAAGGCAGGAAAAAAGTAAGCAGGAAGTGGGTGAACTCAATTCTATAATAAACATCCTTCTTGGAACAATATCTATCTATTCACGAGGGCAGAACTCCCATGATTTAATCACCTTGTAAAATCCCCTCTTAAGTGTTCAGACTTAGAAGAAACAAGTATATCACACCCCCTCTCCAAGACCCACCCTCCAACGTCTTGGAAGAGGGGGTAGAAAGATTGTAAGAGTCGGAGGTTGGGTAGGAATGCTGGGAAACAATATCTTCTAGTCAAGCTAGCACCAAGGTTGGCACCCAGACTCTCACAACAACTGTGGTAGATACACAATATTAAGTCACTGGAAATTCCAGCATATGTGAGAGGGGAGCTCACCATGCCCCATCCTCAGCTGAAGAAATGTTGGTGGCTGACAGATGCTGGGGAATAGAAAGTCCGGTTTCTTTGGTTGTGTGGCCCCTGATAGGTTGTCCACACTCTAAAGGATGAGATTATACTCATGTCCATATTTTCACATAGCACTAGTTGGACTCAGTGAGTCATTAAAAAAGACATGAAATTGAGTGGAAAATGTGTTAGGGACAACTGGGAGGAGTTCAACAGGATGGACATGATCAAATTACATCATGCAGATTCATGAAATTCTCTAAGAATGAATAAAAATATTTTTAAAAAATTCCATCTCTCAACAGTGTCACATTTGGGGATCAGGTTTCCAACACATGAACTTTAGGAACCACATTCAAGCCACTACACTTCTAATCTAGCTCTCCAGTTTTTTTTTTTTTTAAAAAAAAATGGGTTGGCACCACTACAAATAGAAAACTATGAGTGACTTGGCCTTGGCAACCTTAGACATGCAGCCTGTGTAGATCCTGAGCACCCATCCCCAGAACCACTGACTGCTGCCACCTTGCTCAAGTCTCTGTGGTTGCAGGAAGATCCTGCCTAGCATGCCCTTCTGCTCTCACATCTTAAGAGTAAAGAAAGGCATGAATGAAAACCAACAGAAATGGTACCAGAAAGATGGAAATCAACAGTTACATGTGAGAAGTTTGTACATTGTATTATTTACTGCCAACTTATGTATGTTCCAACAAAATAAACAAAAACATGTAGGTAAAAGCTGCTGACACACACTACACTCCTCTCCTGGGAAAGATAACTGAAACCAGTGAGTCTCTTACAGAAAATGTCAAACTGGTCAATGAATACTACTTCCTATTCCTGCCTGTGATGGCTAAAGCAGCTATGAGCTTTCCTGTGTAAGTTGCCACTAGGAGTTCTTTTTCTCCAAAGAATACTTAAGTCATTTTGTGATATACGTCTTTGTCTAGTAGTATTTTTATACAAACAAGATCAAGTACCACAATATAATTTGGCTAGGTTTAATTTTTGTTTTGTCTGTTTGAGACACAGTCTTGCTGTATGTAACTCGATGTATCCTCAAACTTGTTATCCTCTTGCTTCAGCACCTTGAATGCTGAAATAACAAGCAAATCCCACCATATTCAACAATAAAACTCAGTCTTATAGTAATAAGCTTTTAACTTCCTTATTTTAAATCAAATTATTTTGGGGTTGTGAAAATTCATGATTTATCATTTTTCATATAATAGGACAAGCTCATAAGCAAATGGTAGCTGATACCAAATCTGGACGAGAAGTGGGCTATCTACTGTTCAACTAAAAAACAAGCAATCTGTCTTAGTTAAAGTTACTATTGCTATGATGAAGTACCATGACCAAAAGCAAGTTAAGGAGGACAGGTTTCATTTCATTCACAGTTCCATATAACTGTCCATCTTCAAAAGCAGTAGGTCAGGGTCTTAAGCAGGGCAAGAAACTGAAGGCAGGAGCTGATGCAGTGGCCATGAGGTAATGCGGCTTATTGCCTTGTTCTGTGTGACTTGCTCAGCCTGCTTTCTTGTAGAACCCAGGACCACCAGCCCAAAGATGGCAACACTCACAATCTCTAATTAAGAAAATGCTCTATAGGTTCACCTCCAACCCAACCTTATAAAAAATGTTAAGGTTGTGAGCTTAACCTTTCATGGTTGAGCCATCTCTCCAGGGCTGCCTACAACCCAGTCTTATGGAGGCATTTTCTCAACTGAGGCTCCCTCCTCTCTGATGACTCTAGCTGTAACAGATTAACATAAACTCGGTGCACAAAATCATTGACCAGATTCACTCAAGTAACCATGCAAACTCAAAAAACAAAATTGTTCTGGCATCATGAAGAGTGCTGGTTCTGCTAGGGGAACCAGGCAACCAGGAACATGGAGCCACACCAAGCAATCTGCTGGTCCTCACAGGACAAACAATTCTTTCATGCTCCTATGTCTGTCCAGTGACCAGAGGTAGACAAAGCCATCCTCTCAGAGGAGGACTGTGTCATCATCCTGTTTTGCCTTTTCTGTGTACTATCTGAGGCCTTTCCAGAAGACGTGTCATTCTAAGTGAGAGATATTCATGTGTAGGCTAAAATGAGTTTGTTCTTTGCTTACATGATAACTGCAAAACTAAAATTTCTTGCAAAATCTGGGCAATAGGAAAGAAAGCAAGAAGACTGAGCACAGCAGTGCAAGCCTGTAATCCCTGTTGTTTAGGCAGCAGTAGCAACAGAATCATAAGCTAGCCTGGGCAGCCAGGAAAGGAAGCATGAGACAGCAGGATGTTTTTACAAATAATAAACAAGTCTTGTGAGATAGATAGGTTAAGAAAAAAAAGCTGGGACACTGAGATTTCTCTAAGTTGGGATTCTGTTGAATAAATAAATAAATAAATAAATAAATAAATAAATAAATAAATAAGATGTAGAGATGCTGTGCTAGACATTCATTGTAAATTCTGTTTAATAAGCTTCTGAAACCTCCAAACAAATGGGCGTTTATGAAATGGAGTCAGAATCAGTAATCAAATCCTTTCATAATTTGCATGTCAAGCCTCTTACCTGTGGTCATGTGGCAAGCAAATGAAGAAAAATAGGAAATGACTATCGGCTACGAGGGAGTATTGCTGTAACACTTACTTGTGGGAGGATTACGCAGCAAATATCACTCCTCGGTGAGGAATCTAAAAGTCAGAGTCAGACAGAATGGCGAGAGTAACCACAGATGCTACTGACAATAATTCTTCCAGGTATAAAGTCTATTTAACTTTTGTGATCTCTACAATATTCTCTAGCATTGGTATCATTGGCAATGGCTTTATCACCATCATCTATGGGACTGAATGGGTCAGGAGCAAAAGATTCCCCACTGGTGACCACCTTATGTTGATGCTGAGTTTTTCCAGGCTCTTGCTACAGATTTGGCTAATGGTAGAGATTACTTGTAGTCTATTCTTCAGGAGCATTTATAACCAAAATGTCGCGTATAAATTCTTCAAAGCTAGCACTGTGTTTCTGAGCTACTGTAACCTCTGGTTTGCTGCCTGGCTCAATGTCTTCTATTGCCTTAAAATTGCGAACTTCACTAACCCTTTGTTCCTCATGATGAAGCGGAAGATCATAGGGCTGATGCCTCAGCTCATGAGTCTCTCAGTGTTGGTTTCCATTGGCTTGAGCTCCTTCTTCTCTAAAGACGTCTTCAATGTGTATGTGAACAATTCTGTTCCCATTCCTTCCTCCAACTCCACGAAGAAGAAATACTACTCTGAGACCAATGTGGTCAACCTGGCTTTTTTATATTATGTGGGGATCTTCATTCCTTTGACCATGTTCATCATGGCAGCCACTCTGCTGATCGCCTCACTCAAGAGGCACACCCTGCACATGGAAAACAGCACCACAGGATCCAGAGACTCCAGCATGGAGGCTCACTTGGGTGCCATCAAGTCAACTACCTACGCTCTCATCCTCTACATTACCAACGCACTGGCTCTATTTATTTCCATGTCAAACCTCATTGATGCCTACAGCTTCTGGAATAGTTTGTGCAACTTTATCATGACTGCCTACCCAGCTGGTCACTCAGTGCATCTGATCCTGAAAAATCCAGGACTGAGAAGAGCCTGGAGAAGGTTTCAACTCCGTGTCCACCTTTACTTGAAAAAGTAGATCTGGTGAATGGAACCCAGGGAGTGTTTTAACTGGCTCAACCGGTTCTGCCCTGCCCTCTCAGACCTCCTCATTCACTCTTCCCACACACAAAACCTGCTCTGTCACTAACTACTCTTAGGGTAACTGGATTCTTACTTGAGTTTGAAGTTGGGTTAACCTGAGAATCTAAGCAGAAGTAACTAAACGACATGGAGATTGATTTAAAAAGAAAAAGTTTCTTGACACAGATTTATTCGTCTCTGGCCCCAAACTCTTCTCTGCTCTCCACAAACTCTTAAGCCTTGGAAGAAGATCTCAGTTTAGCCAGGAGAAGCTCTGATTGCTTGCTGTCTGTTATTTATTGAACACCCTTTGGTCCTTGAAAATATCTTGGTCTAGATGGAAAAGGATCTGGTCAGCCAGTCTACATTTGACGCCCTGATAACCCCACAGAGTACAAAGAGGACTGCTATCAGGCATGGCATCCAGGCCCAGAGGGAGAGGGGAAACCAGAATTCTGGCAAAGAAAGGAATATAGGAAAGAACAGCTGGCCACAGATATTAAAATGTAAGATGTTAGGTTTTCCTAAAGGAGTAAAACATGAAGAAGGAGGCTTTGGGTTTGACACAGTGGAGGCCATGCTTCTTACTAGTGGAGTAATAGAATGGCATCCAACTTCCAGAAGTTTCCAGAGAGGGAGATGGAAAAGTGAGAGTATGTAAAGAGCAGTAACACAAGGAGTTTCTTTGGATTAAAAGATGAAATAGAAGGTGGAAGATGAAAACATATACAGTCAATTGGATGGTTTATTTTTCCAAATGGGAGGGGATGAAGAAAGAAGAGAGGAAGACAGAAAATGGAGGGGCAAGTGTCAAGTGAGCTGAAAGGCCAGATTAAATGTCTATTATGCTTATTAACCAATTCACTGGCAATGGGGGGACCACCCCCAGGTTTTACGTAGTCCAGGCTACCTTGAAGAAAGTAATGGGGAAAGGGTGGATTACATGGGAGTGGCTGTGGCCAAAGAAAGTGTTCCCCTTCCTTGCCACTCTTCTGAATGGCATTGGCAGCATTGTTTCAAAGGATTGTTTACAAAGTGAGAACTTGAATAGCTCTTCTGTTGCGTACTTTGTAAATAAAAATTACTGAAGAAAACAAAGAAAATACTGCTGTTCATAGGGAGCTTGGGGAGCTCCCAGATAAAAACCGAGATTGACAGCAAAAACAAAGACAAATAATTCTGCGTTCCTTGCTTCTCAGATTCATGTGACAGAGTGCATTACACATAGAAATAGCAAATGAGAAAAGCAAATCAAATACACACACATCTCCACTTATCCAAATATGTTACCTGGTAATTGTAAAAACTCACTTTTGATTTTTTTTTTCTTCAGTGGTACCTTTTTATTTACATGACTGTTGCCTTCTTATTTGTTATTACAGTAAAGATAAATTAGATTTCATTCCAATTCCTATGGAATAAAGGTGGGAAACCTTTCCCAAGTAGAAGATGCTCACAAACAAGTTGCACACCCACTATATATATGTACTAACACATCAGAAAAGAAGCAGGAAGTTGACTTGGAATTGATAGTACGTCACCATGAATCCTGACAAGATGTTAACATGAATAATCCCTCTCTGGGCGTGTTCTGAAGAAATGGTACCCCCTTGTTTTCAGGCACCTAAAGAAGCAGGAAGGAAACTGAGTAGCTCCATTGTGGCTTTCCTGTGACTTTGAATTTGCAGGTAACTTCATTCTTCACTTCCTTCATGTGCTTTGTTTAAGGTCCTTGGATAAAAGGCTCTCTGCCTCCTCTTCTAATTAGGCCGGGAGCTGCCGGCTGCAGGAGAGGCAACAGATTCAGGGAAATGCTCACATCCTGTGTTTTCTGGGAAGAGGTAGCAGAAGCTTCTACTGATAAAAAGAAAATGGGCATGTTCAGGAGCCTGTGGCTGAGAGCAAACAGGTCTGGGCAGGGATGATGTGGGAAGAGGAACTTGGGGAGGAAAGACTGTGGAAGAGAAGGAGAGGCTGCTAAGAGCTGAAGTCGATCTCTGCCAGCCTCAGTTTGAGGGGCGCTCCTTTCAACAGCTCTGGTTCAGTACTTCACAAAAACCAGGGTCTTCCAACAGCATCCCGAAGCAATGTTTCTGAGTAGGATAATTCATGGATAAAGGTGGGTACAGCAAAGGTGTACGTTCACTTACCAACAGCCTCCTTTGAGAAAATCATGTTCTGGTTCATCTTTCATTTATATGTAAAAGACATTTTATGTATATTTTGTTTTGTTTATGTATGATGTATGCATATGTTATGTATGCATATATGCATAATGTTTTATGAATACTCACCCTCTCAAGGAGCATCAGGAAAAAAAAAGAAAAAATGGGTTTTTTACTTGATACAAAGAACTGGAGAGAGATGATTCAATAGCTAGAGCAATTACTGCTTTTGCAGAGGACCCAAGCTCAGTTCTCAGAAACCACATGGTGGCTCACAACCCTCTATAACGCTAGTCCCAGGGGTGGGAAAGCCTCTTCTGGTCTCTCTGGACACCAGGCACACTCACAGTACACATACATCTACACAGGCAAACATTCTTACACATAAAAGTAATAAATCTTTTTCTAAAAGTTGATATAAAGAGAAAAGAATGTGCAGTTCCCTGGATTTGGGTGCGACTCAGCAGTAAGCCAGGATGCAGAGAAGACCCCCAAATTAGAAAATTGATAGGGCAGCTTCTGCGACCTCATAGACAGTGGCACCTCTGCCTCATGTAGTCCCTACTGGCAGGAAACCTTATCCAAGTCCTGGCTTTGCTCTTCATTGTGTGAGGCATTGGCTCGTGACTGCATCTTTAGCCTTCGCAAATCATTACATCCACATCTAAACTCATCATGTCCAGAGCCCACTCAGACCCAGTGGATACACAGAGCACTGGTCCCAGACACTACTTAGACTTGGGGCAGCATGTGACCCCAAGGTCACTCTACTTGAGTGGCAAGTGAAAACTGGAAGGCAGATACCCTGAAGCTTTCGGCCCCTGTATCTCCATTGGTCAAGAAAAGAAATGGTTGCCAGGAAGCAAGTGTTTCTGCTTTAACTGCATGGGAACTGATTGGTGTTAATTAGAACAAGGTCATCAAGCTTTTCTGCCAAAAGTCGGAGAGTAGATGCTTTAACTTTTGGGAAGCACAAAAAGTATCTGTCACAGGGACTTGACTTTTGTGTGGGAGAAAAAAAAAAAACACTGTCAGAGACAGTGTTTAAAAGAATGGGTGTGGCCATGCTCCAAAATAATTTTATTTATGGACACTAAAATTTGAATTTCAGATTCTTTTCAAATGTCATGAAATTGAAATACTATCTTGCTCTTGAATTTGTTTATCCATTAAGAATGAAAAAAATGCCAGCACTGGGGAGGCACAGATAGGTGGATTTCTGAATTTAAGACTAGCCTGGTCTATTCCAGGACAACCAAAGCTACTCAGAGACCCACTGTCTTAGGGTGAAGATATAAGAACATGAAAACTATTCTTGGTGCCTGGCCTTTACAAAGATGAGAAGGAAAAGAAGACAAAGTTTCTATTTCACATAAGCCATGGTGGTAGACCCTGTGTGGCAGGTAGATTCCACTGTGCATCATCAGTGCACAAGAAACAACCGCTGGTATCCAGTTCTTCCAATACTTTATTGCTTGCTATTTCCCCAGATGTTTTCCATTCCTTTTTAAACTTTTCAAGTCCTACAGAAAGAACCAACTCCCACAAGCTGTCCTCTGACCTCCATACATGCCCAGTGACATACTTATGTTGAAACACATATACCCCACAAAACAAGGAAGGAAGGGAGGGAGGGAGGGAGGGTGAGAGGGAGGGGAAAATGCAATAAAGACTGGCTAGATGTCTCATCAATTCCTGGGGTTCACATGGAGGGAGGAGAGAACCAACTCCAGAAAGTCATCCCAAGCTCTCTAGAGTACCTAAGCCAGGTATGTGGCCCATGCGTGTGACCCCATCACTTAAGACAGACCGGCTGGAGAATTGAAAGTTCTAGGTCATCCTCAGCTACATAGCAAATATGAAGCGTGGAGAGAATATGTAAGACTGTCTTTTAAAAAGCATAACCCTTCAGTTCCTTGTAAAAATAAAACATCTAGTTTTACAGTTTTCCCTGCCATCCAGCTCTACTGTGTTGAACCTCCAGCCAGTCCATTTCTATTCCTGTGTCTGACCCTGCACGGCAAAGCTTTTGTTTGTGTTCTTTCCATGTGTAAGTAACAGGCTGGATTATTACATGATGATGTGCAAGGTCCAGAAACCTTGTGGTCTGTGAGGAAAGCATGTTCTCTGATGCCAAGGCTCTAGATTTGGATTTCTGCTCTGGTGACCACGGATACCACTCTGAGCCTGTTTCTCCATCCGGAAAACAGAGATAATCATAATATCCACTTCCAGGGTATCTGTGAGACTCAAAGGTAACGATAACTATGTACTATACCAGATAGCATTCCCACAACAAAGCGCCATATGAAGACTGATACATGTATTTATTCAAATGAATATATATATGTATATATATTTAGCAATTCAAAGATTAAGATAACAAAAATTTCTTCCTACAAGAGTGAATTGATGGAGATGGGAAGGCTGACTAGATTATATTTGGGAAATACTCTGTGCAGGCGGGGTGGGGAGTGTCTGTGAGTCTGTATACCATGGGTGGCATCAGGAATGTAAATAAAGCCTCAAATGACCACAATTAAAACTTCTACCCTACAAAATATGTAAATGTGTTCTAAATGCTTGCCTTCCTCCCTTTTGCTCTTTTGCCGGGGAAAGGGAGAGCTTGGAGAAAATCTCTTGATCTCAGTAAGTCAGCTAGAAGAGATCGAGGCGGAAAGGAATGGGAATTTTCTGCTGAACATCTTCAGAGACCCAAATTAGAGATGATGCTGCAAATCAGAAAGGGTCCTATTACACCCTATCCTCCCTAGGCAAAGCTGCCATTTGC